GGGGTGAGGCTGCGTGAGCCCCCAGGGAGCAGGGGGTGAGGCTGTGTGTGCCCATCTGACCAGCGGAAGGAGGATCCGATCCCATGGAGCCGGCTTCTCCGACATTTTCCGTGCATCCTCTGAGTCTGGCATCGCTGCCCATGCAGGGGTCGGAGGCTGCGGGGCGGCAGCTCTGTGGGGTCTCTGCACTTGGTGTGGGCTGTACGGCTCCTGCGCTCAGTCCTGACGCTGCCTTTCTGTCTTGGCAGAGCGCCCCACGTTCATCCGCAGGCCCATCAACCAGGTGGTGCTTGCTGAGGACAGCGTGGATTTCCACTGTGAGGTGCAGGGGGACCCAGTGCCGACGTCCCGTTGGCGCAAGGAGGAAGGGGAGCTGCCGCGGGGCAGGTAAGAGATGAGAGGCGAGGCCCTTTCCTGGGATGGGCTGCAGCAGGAATGCTGGTTCCAGGCCAGGCCGGGCTGGGCTGCCTGTGCGCTCCCGGCCCGCTCCACGCACACAGCTGCACAGGAGAGCTAGGGGTGAGACGCTAAACCGATGTAGCTAAACCAGTTCTGCTTTGTGTGTGGACACCCCAGGGCTGCTCTGCATGAGGCAAGCACCAGGTGAACCCAAGGGTGACTTAACTCGGGTGGACACGTGGGTTCCGGTCTGAGCGGCTTATTCTAGTTTAGTGAACCCTGTTCCTGGTTCACAGGGTCTGACAGCTTTCTCACCAGAGAAGCCCGGACTGCCTGGCTCACAAGGGGTTCGCTTGCCCCATTAGAGTCGTTCAGTCTGACTCCTGGAGTGAATGTGGTCCCAGGACAGGACTCATTGTAGAAATCCCAGAGAGGATCGCCAGCCCCCAATGCCCTCCCGCTCACCTAGATGGGTCTGGAAGCCAGCGAGGACGGGTGTGTGCACTAACCAGGCCCGAGGCTGGGCCCTGACCAAGGAAATGCCAGGCAGTATTTCTCCCCCAGGGTGGGAGCAAGATGGGCTGGATGGGAGTGGTCTCCGTGTGCACCAACGTGGCCCTGGCACCCTGGGCACCGGTGCTGGTGCCAGGCCGGGCTCTCACAGCATTTGTTTCTGTCAATCCCAGGGCAGAGATCCAGAATGACAACACCCTGCGGATCAGCCGGGTCAGCGCTGAGGACGAGGGCACCTACACTTGCGTGGCAGAGAACAGCGTGGGCAAGTCGGAGGCCTCTGGCTCGCTCAGCGTCCATGGTAAGGGGTCGCTCAGGGGACCAGGCAGCGATGGGGGCTGCTGGTGGTGGGACATACGGAGTTGAGGAGGAGATGAGCAGCCTCGTTCTCTCAGCGCCCAGTGATGGGGAGAGCCCAGCCCAGGGCCCGAGTGCTCCTCAGAGGCGGCTGACGCTAGTCGGGCACTTAGGGCTGCCGGGGTGTTAGATGTGAATCACTTCCAGTGCTAGGGGCTGGCGGGATGGAGGGAGATGGGCCAGGCTCCCTTGCTGAGCCAGACCAGTCTCTGTCGATCCCCTCTGGTTACAATTCAACACCAGCTACTGGGCCCAGCTAGCCACAGCCTCGGTACCGACTGGCTGGACCGAGGTTAGTGCGTGGAAGTCCCTGGAAAGGCGATTCAGCCTGGCCATGTAGGCAGACAGTGCCATGACCCCCTCCTCGCACGATCCGTCTGTGCCATGCTGCTGGCACACAGCAGGCTCCATCGCTGGGAGGCCGAGTGGGCCCGGCACTCGGCAGAGCCGAACACGGCAGCGCAGATTCACTCTGCTTCTCGGCCCCTCATGTGTACTATCACTGTAACGCTCCCCCGGCTTCGCTGGATCCTGCTCATCTCACGCCTGTTTCTCTGTGTTCTCTGTTCCAGTGAGCCCATTCCGTGAGTATCCATTTCATCTCATACCCTGGGGCATGCGGGGATGGCCGGGGGCGGGGAGGGGCTGTGCATGTGACATTCCTGTGGGCTCATGAGGCCATAGTGGGAGACGATCTATGCAAGAGGCTCTTTGCCCGCTCTCTCCGGCCATCTGCTGGCTGGCTCTGCCTGTGTTAGCCCATTGGAGAGCACTCTAAAACCTCCCGACGGGGACACCCAGCCCTGGCTCTCAGCAACGGGTCTGGCTGGCCTACAAACGCTTTTCCAACTCTCCTTTCTGGGAGAAGAGAGAATTCAGAGCAGCCTGCAGTGTGAATCTGGCTGGCCTTCAACTGGCTGCAGAGCATTTGGCTGATGAATCTGATCAGGTCTCTCCCACCATGGACACCTCCCTCTCTCCCTCCTCCTCTCTCTCTCTCTCTCTCTCTCTCAGCTGAAAAGCCACTGGGTTCCAGCATGGAGCTTGGGAGTTAATTAACACTAGCCCACTCTGTGGCCCTGTGATTGCCCTCTAGCCACAGAACCACTGTGCAGTGTGTGAACCGCAGTGTCCCTCTCCCGTCTCCAGCATGTGGACCAGCCACTTGTCAGCCCCGTGGAATAGCGAATATCTGGAGTGCATTAAGTCAGAGACACAGACCCCCCCCACGCTCACATGTCAGCAGTAACTAGGCCTGGCCCTGCGGCTGATGCAGCCAGAGGGCGCTGGGAGCAGCAGGCTCTAGGCAAGGTGCGGTTGGCTTTAGCCCGTCAGGTGTGTATTGTGTCAGCAGTCAAATGCCCTTGACAAAATGGCTTTCCTTGTAGTGGTAAAAATGAGGGCACGAAGGTGAGCTAGTGATGGGGCCAGTGCAGAGCCTGGTTCTCTTTGCTCTGCCCGCTGGGCCAGCCCCCAGTCCAGTCAGTTTCCTGCCTCCGATCTGCCCGTGCCCCTTATCAGCAGCGCTCGTTCGGGACTAAATGAAGCTTCCTGGGGCGCCCACGTCATCCGCCCTCGTTTCCTCCTGGCCTTTGAAGTGGGGCAGGAGCAGAACGTGGGGGTGGATTTCCTGAATCAGTCTCCATCATCCCTGCTCCATGCGGGCACCTGGCCCCTTTGAAGCCCAGGGGGGAGGGGTGCTGTCCCTTTGAAGCCCAGGGGGGAAGGGTACTTTGTGAAGAGGCTTCTCCGGCACCGCTGCTGCTGCCCCCTCCCTTCCAGCCACGGCCATTGAGATGTGATTGTGGAGCAGGTGGTTGCACAGACACAGGCTGTTGCTGGGAGAGGTCACAGGTCGCTGGATTTGAATCCAAGCACTGGGCAGAGCCAGCTGAGCTCCCTTTCCGATGAGCCTCCCACAAGAGCGTGCAAGGTGCATCCCACTTCCAGCCCCTGCTCTGGAACAGGGGCAGCCGGCCCTCCAGGCAAAGGGGAGGGGCAGCATTGGCGCCCTCAGAGCTTGGGGAAGCCTCCAGCTGCAGATCTGCTTCCCAAGCTAGGCCTGCGGGTTCCTGGCACTTGCCAGCTCCCTGTACTGTGGAGATGGGTCTGGGGACTTCCGGCACTAAACAGACTTTGTGATGGGAGCCAGACCCTCAGCTGCTGTAAGTGAGCAGAGCACAGCCTTTCTCTGTGCAGCGGCTGGGCCGCCGCACATGCAGATCAATAACGATGAAACAGCTGCAGGTTTTTCTTTTCCTGCCATGGAAATTCAGCAGGGGAGAGCAAGCAGGTTGCGGGAAGAGGGGGGTCGCATTAGCATGGGGGTACCTAGCAATCCATAACTTCATTAAAGCGGTGCCTGCAGGGATCAGCATGACAATGGCACACCTGAAGCTCCATGTGATAGTGCCCGGTGCCCCATAAATACTTTACAGCTCTGCATTGTCTCCCCGCTCCTGGAGGGAGCGGGAAGGGGCGGGCAGAGGGGAGATAAGGCGGGCAATTAGCATTTGTAAAACCTGATGTCATTTGTCTTCCATTGAGAGGAATGAAAAGGCTTTGAACAGCCAGCGGTGGATGGGGGAGGGTTAGTTATTTATGGGAAGGTGGCTGATTTAGGAGACTTGCTCCTTTTCTTCTCTGTCCCTCCTCCCCCTTCCTCCTTCCATCTCCAGATCCTGCTCTGAGTGCCCGGAGGTTATCAGGAGGCACATCAAGGCACCTTCCCCTGAGTGTTATGACTGTATTCTGGAGAGTCCCACTGCCACATCCTGGGGCCTTGCCTGGCTCCCTCTTATCTTTCCCCTTGTAAATACCTCGCTGGGGGCGTCTGGTTTAGAATTGTCCCCCTGGGATCCCTCTAGGAAGCAGGTGTGCCAGCCAAAGAGTATGAATCCCCTGTGCTAGTGCAGGCCACACGCACCACACCGAGTCACACCGCGTCCCCTAGCCTACTTCACAGGACACAGGGCTCCATGCTAGTCTGGTCAGGGAGATCCCCGGCTCCTGTGTTCCAAACCAGGAAGATTGCTGCAGAGACAGCTGCAAGCCAGGAAAAACCCAAGCACTGCCACTCACAGCTGTGATTTCACTTCCACCGCCCAGTGGTCTCTCCCCCGCCCGCACAGCGCACCCCACTCGGCTGCTGAGGCGCTGGGTCCTGGCTGCTGGGAAGGCCAAGCGGGTGCTGGACAGTGTGCGTTTGGAGTGGACAGTTGTGTTAAGGGGGCTGTGGTGGATGGTTGCTAACAAAGGGAATGGCTCGGTATCCAACTGGAGCTAGCTAGCGAGTATCTATTGCTTCTCACAGGTGCCAGGACCTGGGACAATATTTTATTTGGGGAGCGGGCTAGGCTGTAGAGTAGCTACTGTCTCAAACAGATTCTTTTGGGGCAGGTGTTTTCCATGCTCAGTCTCAGCCAATGTTCCCTCTCATTTTTTACATCCATGTGCGGAATGAATTTTTTTATGCGCGCCAATATGGAGTTGATGTGCGGTGGGGGTGGGGCCAAGGGGTTCGGGGTATGGGAGGGGGCTCAGGGCTGGGGCAGAGGGTTGGTGTGCGGGGGGGTGAGGGCTCTGGCTGGGGCTGCGGGCTCTGGGGATAGGGGTGCGGGAGGGGGCTCAGAGCTGGGGCAGAGGGTTGGGATGCAGGGGGTGAGGGCTCCAGCTAGGGGTGAAGGCTCTCGGGTAGGGGCGGGGATGAGGGGTTTGGGGTGCAGGCTGCCCCAGGGCTGCGACGGGTAGAGAGGACTCCCCCAAGCCCTCTCTCACCACAGCAGCCCAGGGCCGGAGGAGAGGTGCTTCTCCCTGCCTGCGCGGCCCTTGATAGCCTGCTGCATTGCCGCGCGGCTTAGAGGAAACTTATGTCTCAGCCCAAGAGGGGAGAGGGGTGTCTCTGTCTGTCTGTCTGTCTGTCTGTCTGTCCGTGTGCACTGGAAATGTCAGAGGGCCAGATTCTGATCCTCTACTCATCAGTGGAGGTACTATGGTGATGAGGCTGCTACGAAAACCTCCATTGAGTAGCACCTTACTCCACCACTGGCCCTGCCGATCTCACGCCCGCGAGGTCGCTTTGGGGCAAGGTGCCACTCAGCTGAGCGAGGGTGTTAGAATCTGGCTGAGTTTAGAGTCCAAATACTGGGCTGATCTTGGCCAAGGCTCTGGCGGTTCAAATGGGGCAGCTTTGCCCATGGGTTGGGGTATTCTGTCCCACCCCCCATGGTTTTTAACCTGAAGCTAGTCAGATTATTGACCAGGATGCTCAGCGAGGTGTTCAAGGATTTAAATCCAGAATGTTCCACTAGCCAGGCAGGGGGCTTCCAGCACAGACGTCAGTTTTAACGGACCTTTTAAACAGCGTGTTTTAATTCTCCTCTGGGCAGCCTGCGTTGGAGAAGACACCTCACACTAAGCCCTGGTCTACACTGTGCTGCAGCACAAACAAATTGCAGAGCTAACTTCCCTGTGTGCATATGGACACTGCTGGCATGAATGAAAAGGTACCTAATTCATATGAACATAGCCCTCTTTGAAGAGGACTGTGTTAACCCAAACCAGGTACCTTTCCTTCCGTGCCAGCAGTGTCTACAAGAGGCAGTTAGTTCAGTGCGCTCTGCAATTTGCATGCCTATAGTCCACACTGTGGCGCTGCGTAGACGTAGCCAAGACATTAGAATCATAAAAGATCAGGGTTAGAAGGGACCTCAGGATGTCATCTAGTCCAACCCCCTGCTCAAAGCAGGACCAATCCCCAACTAAATCATCCCAGCCAGGGCTTTGTCAAGCCTGACCTTAAAAACCTCGAAGGAAGGAGATTCCACCACCTCCCTAGGTAACCCATTCCAGTGCAGACACCAGATGGCTCGTGGCATAGGATTCAGGTGGTGCTTTCTTTCACGCACTTATTTGGGGAGCCCTGCATAGTGCAGCCGCTTTGCATCACATTCAGGCTATGGAAGAGTTGGGTACGTCTGACTTTGGATGGTCACAGCTGCTAATCAAGGAGTGTTTGCAACAATGACGCTCCTTCGAGTTCCCTGTAAGTGACCCCCACAAAATCAAACAGGAGGAAACTGTGGCCTTTTTTGCCTCTTGTGACTCTCAGCTCAAGCCCCCCTTATCTGGGCTGATAATGTCCCAAAGCGCTGCCGTCTGGGAGCTTTCACGGACCTGGGAAGTACCAGGAGGATTTCACAACAGGAAAAAAGAATTGTTCCCAGTGTTAGTGACGTTCTTCCTGTGCAGAACATGGTTCGCCGAGCCAAAGCTGGGATTAGTGCAGGGTGCCCTGGGCTGGGTTGTTCAGGCCTGTTCTTGCTTCTTCCTGATGGAAGACATGGAGTTCTGGGTTTTCCCCCCTACAAATATGAGGAAAGTCAAGTCTGCCCTGACTGGAGAGGTCTGGCTGGAGAATGTTTACTGGGAGCTCTTGCATCTGAATGGAAGGGGAGAGGATGTGGAACCATTAGCACAGGCTTCCTTTATCCAGACTATTAATTAGACGTTGGAGTTAAATGTGTTACCATAAAACAGGGGGAGGGATAGCTCAGTGGTTTGAGCATTGGCCTGCTAAACCCAGGGTTGTTAGTTCAATCCTTGTGAGGGCCACCTGAGGCAAAATCAGTACTTGGTCCTGCTAGTGAAGGAAGGGGGCTGGACTCAATGACTTTTCAGGGTCCCCTCCAGTTCTATCAGGTGTGTGTATATATATATTTAAACCCCTAAATCCAAAGGGTTTTACAGTCTGACTAGGAAACCAGCCCCTCTGTTCCGCTTCCACTCTCTTGATTAACGTGCTGCTGCCTTTCATAGCGTCTGCCTTTTGTGCAGCTGTGTGTGTGATGTTTCTTATGGATGAAAGTGTTGCCAGTTCTCCCACCCTGCCCCAAGCAGCAGCAGGGGGTGGGACACGGAGCTATTGAACATGTGGAAGCTCTGGTTGGGGCTGCTGAGGGCTGGGGGGGTTGGTGGTTCGCTGAGTGAGTAGATGGGTGCTGGGGACGTAGGTGGATGAGTGGATGCTGAAGGGAGTCACTGGGTGTCTGGGGTCAATGGGTATCTTGGGGGCATCTGGGGGCTGGCTGTTCTGGGGACTTGGCAGGAGGCACCAGTACTGGCCCCTCTCCCTCTCTGCTGCCCTCTCCCCTCCTTGCTCCTTCCCTATTGGGACCCAGCCTGGGGAACAGGAGTAGAGGCAAAGTTGCTGCCTAGCTGCCTCCTGAACAGGGCCATAGCAGCTGGCAGGTGCTATCACTGGTGTCCCCTGCAGCCTGGGCACTGTGAGGTCCCAGCAGGGCTGCAGGGAGGTGTGGCAGGGCTGTCCGTGCACAAGGGCTGAGCAAGATGCCACACTCGGCAACGCTGCCCGTTCAGCCTGTTCTCCGGGCCCAGGCAGACAGTGCTAGTGTCAGAGAAAAGAAGGAAGAAAATGTGGCCCCTTCTGGCCTTCGCTGTGGGTGACAGAGAAGGAACGAGCACCCAGTCCCACCGGGCAGCCTCTGCCAACACACTCCGCAGCTCCGGGCCTCTCTCCAGGGACCCGGCAGCACTCCTGCTCTGTCAGAGAAACGGAAGGCGGGTGCTGCGGTATCTTTGTGGCTGTTCTCCTCTGTAAACAGCCCATCGGATGCCCCGGCACCAGGGGAGAAGGCCCAGGGCTTCCCGGCTGTGCTGGTTTCCCCAAGCTCAGGCTGCCATGTTACCACAGGATCATAGAAATGTTGGGCTGGAAGGACCCTCGAGAGGTCATCAAGTCCAACCCCCGGCGCAGAGGCAGGACCAAGTAACCCTAGACCATCCCTGATGGGAGTTGGCCAACCTGGTCTTAAAAACCTCCAATGATGGGGATTCCGCAACCTCCCTTGGAATCTGTTCCAGAGCTTAACTACCCTGAGAGGTAGAAAGTTTTTCCTAATATCGAACCTAAATCTGCCTTGCTGCAGACTGAGCCCGTTGCTTCTTGTCCTGCCTTCCGTGGACATGGAGAACAATTGATCATTGTCCTCTTTAGAGCAGCCTTAACCGATCTGAAGGCTCTCAGTCTTGTCTTCTTTTCTCAAGACTAAACACGCCCAGTTTTCTTAACCTTTCCTCCTAGGTCAGGTTTTTTAAACCTTTGATCATTTTCCAATGCGTCCACATCTTTCCAAAGTGCGGCACCCAGAACTGGACACAGTGCTCCAGCTGAGGCCTCACCCGTGCCAAGTAGAACAGGACAATTACCTCTTGTGTCTTACATGCAACGCTCCTGCTAATACACCCCAGAATATTGCCTTTTTCGCAAGTGCATCTCATTGTCTCACATTCAATTTGTGATCCGCTATAACCCCCAGATCCTCTCCAGCAGCACTACCACCTAGCCAGTTATTCCCCATTATGTAGCTGTGTGTTTGATTTTTCCTTCCTTGGTGACATACTTTGCTCTTCTCTTTATTGAATTTCATCTTGTTAAATTCCGACCAGTTTTCCAATTTGGCCAGGTCGTTTTGAATTCAAATCCTGTCCCCCCCAAGTGCCAGCATCCCCTGCTCAGTGTAGTGTCATCTGCAGATTTTACAAGCACGTTCTCCTCTCCATTAGCCAAGTCATGAATGAGAACATTGACTAGTACCGGACCCAGGACTGACCCCTGCGGGACCCCATTAGAAACCCTCCCGCTTTGGCAGCGGACCATGGATAACTACTCTTTGAGGGCGGTTTAATGTATATGGAGATACACCTATCTCCTAGAGCTGGAAGGGACCTTGAAAGGTCATCAAGTCCAGCCCCCTGCCTTCACTAGCAGGACCAAGTACTGATTTTTTGCCCCAGATCCCTAAGTGGCCCCCTCAAGGATTGAACTCACAACCCTGGGTTAGCAGGCCAATGCTCAAACCACTGAGCTATCCCTCCCCCCCTCAACCTGGTGTGCCCCCCACCTTACAGTAAATTCATCTAGAGTACTGCCCTAGTTTGCTGATGAGACTGTCACGCGGGACTGTGTCAAAAGCTTTACTAAAATCACGCTCTATCTCATCTCTGGCTCCCCCGCAGCCCCTAGGCCAGTGACCCTGCCACAGAAGGGAATGAGGTTGGTTTGGCATGGTTTGCTGCGCCTCCCTTGTGCTTGCTGCCCCAGCGTTAGCTTAGGCCATAAAACAGGCCAGACGTGCTGCGTGGCGGTGCCCCAGTCTCCAGGAAGGGCACTGGCTCCGGTGTCACTACCCCGCATAGATGCTGTGTCCTGGTATGGTACCATAGGTGCCAACTCCGTGAGTGCTCTGGGGCTGGAGCTCCCACAGGGAAAAATTAGTGGGTGCTCGGCACCCATTGGCAGCCAAGCTCTCCTCACCCCCTGCCCCACCTCCTCCCCTGAGCGTGCGTCCCCACTCCTCCCCCTACCTCCCAGCGCTTCCCGCCCAACTGCCGCCAAACAGCTGTTTGGCAGCGTTAGCATGCTCCGGGAGGGAGGGGGAGGAGTGGGAATGTGGTGCGCTCAGGGGAGGAGGTGGGGAAGAGGCGGAGCCGGGGCAGGGATTTGGGGAAGGAGTTGGAATATGAGTAGGGCGGGGGCGGAGTCGGGGCGCGGACTTTGGGGAAGGGGTTGGAATGGGGGCAGGGCAGACATGGGAAGGGGCAGGCCAGGGGTGGGGCCTCATGAAAGGGGTGGGGTGAGGCGGGACTGGGGCAGAGGTGGGGTCGAGCACCCACGGGGAAGTGGGGAAGTTGGCACCTATGTATGGTACCCCATTAGGCTGCGCCCTGCAAGCCCAGCTTTGCCCCAGTGCAGCGTGTCAGCATTAGGGGTTTGCTCTGGGGTCCCTGTAGCCACACAGCTGTGTGCTGTGAGCTCCCTCGCTGCAGACAGGGCCAGTGCTCCGGTTATTGGTCAGCTGCCTGGAGGCTCAGAGAAATGTACAGACCTCTGGGCTGTGGAAATCTGTTCTGCTAGCCAACCGTAGCGTCCCCTCCCCACCTCCTGGGGGAGCATTTCTGCAAGAAAGCCCCAGGCGCCCCGAGCCCCATTGCCTGGAGACCCCATGCTGTTGGACAAAACCCCTTCTAAAGTTTTGCAACCCGTGTCTATTTGTTTCTCTTTCTTTTCACCCGCTCTCAGTTCCACCCCAGTTAGTGACACGCCCTCGGGACCAGATTGTAGCTCAGGGCCGCACCGTGACCTTTCACTGTGAGACCAAAGGAAACCCGCCGCCGGCTGTGTTCTGGCAGAAGGAGGGCAGCCAGGTAGGTTCTGCATGCCCCCCTCCCCTGAGCGTGTACCAAGGCCTACCCATGCCCCTGTCCCATGCCCCTGCCTGGGGAGCTCTGTTCTCCCAAAGCCAGATTGCGAAGCTCTGGACTCCGAGCCCATCGGGAGGCTGTGATCTGCCCTCCAGCCTCAGCGGGTGTATTCACATCCGGGGTCCCTGGCCCGTGTGAGCACAGTCCCCAGCAATACTCTCAGGGCACAAACCTGGTCCCACCCCACCCGGACGCAGGAGATACCCAGTCCCTGGGGACAAACGAAGCAGCGTTGTGTTCTCTGTGTGAGATGGCATTTAGGCCTCTCTGGACAAGCAACTGGCTGATTCTGCTGTTGTGAGCTGGGAGGCTAGGGCCCGTGGGGACATCTAGGCTGCAGCGGGGAGGCGTGAGCCCCAGGGAGGGTAGACTCATGTTAGCTCAGTGCCCAGCTAATGCTAAGAATAGCACACCCAATGCTTTGGTGTGAGCTCAGCAGCTCACCTGAGCCGCTGTGGGTACAGCAACATCCACGCTGCTGGAGCTGAGTGAGTGCGAGCGCGTCTGCCCGGGCTGGGAATCCCACCTCCCTTGGCGAGCGAGGGTCTGCGTGGCAGGGAGCAGGGGACCCTGCGCTGTGATGAAGTCAGCAGGGAGCCGGGGAAGGAACATCCTCCGCTGGGCTCTTCAAGTGCGAGGCCTGGCTGAGTCAGCCAGGCAGTGACTCCCCTCCCTTGCCTCCTCTCTGCCCGCCAGCCTGCTGCCTGTCCCCTGCGGTCTGTCCTGGGATCCAGCCCTTGGGCTGTGTCAAGCCCAGTTCATTCTGGCTTGGATTCGGGGAGATCTCCCAGGCACCGTCCTGGTGCCCAGTTCCAACCAGGTCATCCTCGCAGCTGAGACGCCTCTGTGCCCAGCCCCGCTCCTAGGCCCTGGCTTTGGGTGGCTCCCATGGGCCCATGCTGGGGCCCACTTGGTCCATCCCTGGGGCTTTGCTCAGCTGTTTAGGCGGCCCTGGCAATGGGGCTCACCCCGCAGCGAATCATCCCCAGCTGCCCTGGTGCCTGGAGCGGTGCCATGGCCGTGCCAGGGCTATGCTGGGGGTGGTTGGGGCTCCTGCAGGCGGGTGAGGCACTGGCGAGACCCTTGTGCAGGAGTCAAGAGGCAACGGTATTGCCCCGAGAGGGTGAGGCATGAGGAAGGCAGCCCCTGGGGTGGGGGGGGCGGGGAGGCAGCACTTTGCCTATGGGGGGGGCGGGGTGATGGGTGGGGAGGGGAGGTCAGTGAGTGCAGGGTGGAGGTACAGCAGGGCCAAGGGGGCCCAGCCCAACAGTGCATCTAGCTCTCCTCCTCTGCCAGACGCTGCCCCCTCATGCCATGGGCCCCTGGCCTCGGCCTGGGGGCCAGCTGTTTTCTGCTGCCCCCTCAGAGTGCTGTGTCTTCCCCCGAGTCAGGTCGTCTCCATCCGACTCAGTTTCCCCGCACCCACCTGGGCTCCCAGGCTCCAGCTTGCCCCCCCCCCCCCCCCCCCGCCCCCCTGGGCTCTCAGGCGTGCACCTCAGCTTCCCCACACCCACCTGGGCTCCCAGGCCCCGACCCAGCTTCCCTAACCCACCTGGGCTGCAAGGTCCCAATGCAGCTTCTCCACACCCACCCGGGCTCCCAGGCTCCAGCTTGCCCCCACTGCCCCCCACACCCACCCCAGGCTCCCAGGCCCCAACTCAGCTTCCACACACCCACCTGGGCTCCCAGGCCCGAGCTCGGCTCCCAGCTTGACTTGCCCCCTACCCAGCTGACCCTGTCCTGGCTCCCTCCCCCAGACCCTAGCTCAGTTGATCACTGACCCACCCCCACTCCCTGCCTGGGCCCTGGCTCAGTTCAGCCCCCTGGGTTCCCCTCCCCAGGCTCCCCCAGCTAAGGCGCTCAGATCAGCCCTGGAACTTGCTGCTCTGCAGTGCACGTTTCTACAGTGACTCGGCTCTGCTGCCCTTCTGGGGCCCCACGCCCTTGCCCACGAATGCAGGGCTCCCCCCTTGCCCACTGGCCGTACAGAGCCGAGGGAACCGTACCGCATGAGTGAGAGCGCTCTCGGCTGGGGCGCTCCAGGAGGGGGTCAGTGTGCAGGGACCCAGGAACCTGAAACCAGAGCCAGTAAGCACTGAACCCCATAGGAATGAACCAAGCCCCGGAGGACAGGGCAGCGCCTTGGCCCGGGAATATCGGAGCCCAGGCTGGAGAGGCAAAGGGATCAGACCTCAGGGACTGAAACAGGGCAATGCTACGCTCCCTGGGGTCCTGCAACAGCTCCTGGCCAGTGGAGCAGGGCGACTCCGTTCTGCTCGGCAGGGCCTTGCCGCGGTCTACAAGCAGATTCCAGCGTGTGCCCATCTTTCCTCTGTCAGAACCGCCGGGCGAGCTGCGGGCATGCCTGACATGCGCTGTCTGCCCAGCCTGACACCTAGGCTACACAGCTCAGACGGGCAAGGCAGTGTGTTTGCTTTTCTGTGCCTAGCGCACCAGCTGCCAGATCTCCAAAGAACCGCACCTGCCGGGCAGCTGCTCTTTCCATCCCATCCCTTCTGCTTTGCTCAATCGTCTGTTGTCCGTTTCCTTTGGCTCCTCCGGCACGTTTGCAGCAGAGGCCCAGAACTGCCCCAGGGCCTGCCGTGGCCAGAAGTGCTGTGCTGTGACGTAGCCTCTCTCTGCCCACATGCTTGGTAGGAGGAGAGGAGGCGTCAGACAGGGAATGTGGCACACCAGGGCCTTCTGCTGTACGCAGCTCCCTCCTCACCCAGTAACAGAAACCCTGAGGGAGGGCGGGGTGCAGGCATCCCCACCCTCCAGCAGCCTTTCTCCTTGGGGAATGCTTCCCTTGTTAAGAGGAAGGCACCACAAACGTGAGACCCAGGTGCTTTCCAGATGGAGTGGGCCTGGCTGCATGCTCTGAGGGCTGGCGGGAGGGGCCTGGCCCCGCGCGCTCCGAGGGCTGGTGAGAGGGGCCTGGCCACGTGCTCTCAGGGCTGGCGGGAGGGGCCTGGCCACGCGCTCTCAGGGCTGGCGGGACTGTGCCAGATCCTCTGTATGTCTAGGCACTGGTGCAGGGAGCTCTGCCTGATGTCATGAACAGCCCCTCCGCCCGCCCTGCATAGTGTCTGGGGAGGGCTGGGCTCTATGTTGTTTCCTGAATTTGGCTGGCCCTGGGCGGGGCACTAGCAAAATCAGCCCAGCCGCTCCCTGCAGAGGCCCTGTACTCCCCATGCCTCCGGGCCGCCCTCGGCTCTCACTAAGTGGAGAGTCTGGGGCTCTCCCCTTGTGTCTGCCCTGCAGATCCTGCTGTTCCCCAGCCAGCCCCCTCAGCCCATGGGCCGCTTCTCCGTGTCCCCGAGTGGCGAGATGACCATCACGGAGGTGCAGACAGCAGATTCCGGGTACTACATGTGCCAGGCCATCAGCGTGGCGGGGAGCATCCTGGCCAAAGCCCTGCTGGAGGTGGAGGATGGTGAGTACTTATGAGCGTAAAGGCTCCAGTAAGGCCCTTCATGGTCAGGGAGAGCCCTTGGTGTGGTCCCCAGGCCAAGCACTGTGGAGTGGGGCCAGGGGCACAACCCCCTGTAACGCACAGGCCCTGCAGCAGGCTCACTGCCTTGTAGGATCTTGGAGTCGTGTGGTCGGTGTATTGCAGAGCTGAGGGGCTCTGGGCCCGGGAGCTCAGGGTGAAGCTGGCTCTAGGGGAGAAGTGGGGGGAGCGTGGCATCTCCGTCCATGAGCGCTGGAACGTTTGCTGTGTTCCCAGGGTGCTGGTGAGGGAACGGCAGAGCGCAGGGGTGAGCCTGGCAAGGGAGCTCCAGTGGACTTTGTTCATTCAGGCTGGCAGCTGGTATGGTCCGGTAGTGCTCCCTCTGAGTCTGGGCAAGGTGCCATTTGAACCCCGCCCCTCTGTCCGGGCGGCAGGTTCTGGACAGTTGGAGCCGAATCTCCTCCACCTTGCTGAGCTGGGCAGGGGGCAGCCTGAATGCTGAACCCCTTGGAGCATGCCCCCTTACCCGCAGCATGCTCCCGTCGTGGCCCCTTGCTTGGGCTCGCAGGGCTGTGTTTCAGCAGCTGGTTAGTTTAGCCTGCAGGCTGCATTTTCAGGGGCTCAAGACTTTAAGGTTTCCTACCTGGGAGGAGAGCTCTAAGCCTCCCAGCTGCCCAGGTACGCACAGGGATTGTGCCAGCAGGGCCCTGGGGTGTGAACCACAGACACCCAGAACAGCGGAGTGCCCGGGATCCTAACCAGCTATGGCCCGTTGGGACAGCAGCCAGCCTGGCGCCCTGTGCAGGGAATGAGCAAGGGGCGGTGAAGGGGTAGGTCAGGGGGAGGAAGGGTCTGGTGCAGGGCACAGGAAGACGGCAGAGAAAGATCTGTGGGGACAATGTGGGGAGGGGTCAGAGAGGAGCATGGAAGAAGTGGCCTGTTGCTGGATTTCCCGTGGGGTGGCTGCAGCTCTTTCGGCCTGAGACGAACATGGCTGCCCGGCTCCCGGCAGGGCCAGATCCGACCGCACCTCCACTACACCAACAGAAGAATGCTTCTGTCGTTCGGGGAGGTGGCGTTCCTACACCGACGGAAAAGCCCCTTCCGTCGGCGTGGGCTGCGTCTGTACGACCGGGTTGTGCCGGCAGAGCTCCGGCACCCCAGCCACAGTGGGATGGTGCCCGTCCTGTAGCTCTACCCTTGGAGAGGGAGCCAGTTGCTCCTGCAGCTGCTGGGTCAGTGGTTCAGGCTCCCCAGGTTTGCAGTGGTCACCCCTCACTCAGCCCATCTCCAGTGGGAACCCAGCTGTCAGCTCACAAAGGCTTGGTGGGACCCTGACACCACACCCCAGCTGGATGTGCAGCAAGGTCTGGCTGCTCTACCCTGGTTGCAATGGGATTTGGTAGGGCGCAGACCAGCATGTGCAGAGCGAGGGACTGGCACAGCCCTGCACAGGGCCCCCAGCTGGTTCCCTTGTGGAACTGCAAACAGCCCGGGAATGTCTGAGCAGCGAGGACGGGAACGGAGCTGCTGCCCCTGCCTGGGGAGCTGCAGCCCCGGCTTTGCCAGTGGAATTTGTTCCTGTGAAGTTTTCTGGCATTTTCTCTGAACTCTCCTGCTGTGAATTTCATTTGAGTTTCCTTGGCATTAGCCAGGACTCGGGAGGTGTTATAGGAACCATGGCTTCGAGCAAGTCCTTAGCAGAGAGACTCTCCTTTTATGCAAATAAAATCCTTGCCTTTCTTTAAGGGGTTTCTTGTTAAAAACCCAGCTGAACAGGCAGGCTTCCTTCCCACCTTTGTGGAGCCTGTCTCCCCCCTGCCCACCCACCGCCCCCTCCCGCAGGCATCCTGTGCTTTGTCCAAACAAACTCTTCTCCCGTGAACGCTGTCAGGTGGCACGACCAGTGTGTGCAATAATGGATGGGGCCATATCAAGCGATGCTCTTTGCCTTCCTCTCTGCACAGCCCAGACAGCGTCCTGCTTTGTCAGTTCCTGTGTGAGTTTCCTTGGCAATCCGCAGGCGCTAGCGCCGCGCTGCGTCGGTTGTTACAGACAGCGCAGGGGCCAGGTTACAGGCAGGGACTGAAAAGAATTCTGTTAGTGCTGTTCGCTCGTTTGGGTTGTTTAATTAAACCTAAATTGGGGGACCAATCCCTGAAGGGCAGCAAGTGTCACTTTGAAACCCCATTGGTGGGAGCCCGGCTTGGAAATGCCGACGGAGGGCTGTGCTCTCCAAAGGCCACGCTGACAGCACAGCATGCCAAGGTGCGAGCGGTGCTGCACTCCATGCCGGCCACCTCAGGGCTTCACCTCACCGTGTGCACAACGTATTGCTTGGTATGGATCTGAAAACTCATACTTGGCAGGGGGATGCAGTTATACCAGCACAATTGTGCTTGCCACCAGCGTAGCTTCTGCTGGTTCTTGACCCGACATGTACTGATACACCTGTGTCCGCTTAAGGAGGGCGTCGTCGATTTAACTCCACTGAGATGGTTAAACCTATTCCCAGCAAAGCCAGGAGAGACACAGATGGCCCAGCACCATTTCCTGAACCCAGCTCTGCACTGTGGCGGCATGGGCCCAGCGTGTGCAGAGACCTTGCACTAGCCCACTGCCATGCCCCAATCCTGAGCTGGAGCAACCGTCTGTCGATACGAGAGGGCAGCTCGCCCCCATGGCATGTTACGCCTCTGGCCTCTGCTGGGGCTGCCAGTGTGGAAACCACCCTCTCCCCTTTGTGCTTCCCACCAGTCTCCTTGCACGCAGGCCAGTGAGCGCCCAGCAGATGGTACCTACTAGAGGGAAGCCTTTGTATTCCCTTATTTCTCCCCTGAGCTGGGCAGCACGGGAGCTCCCTCCCTGCACTCCCTGGTGATTTGGGTTTTCTGGTAACACCTGATCCATCAGCCCAGCTGACAAGGGCGAGGTGATTAATGGCAACTGTTGGACAAAGAGAGTGTAACCCAGAATCCTAATTCCGCAGCACAGATGGCTTCCTGCAGCGAGAGGGTGGCTAGACAGCACAGCACTCCGCAGCGGCAGATGAGCCGTCCCTGGCCTTTATGTGACACTTCATGTGTCTGTATCTTGTGGAGCGCCTGTTCCGACCAGGGGCCTGTTAACAAGAGGGCACGGCCCTGGCGAGTCACAATCCGGAACCGGGAGCCAGGCCTCTGCCAGATGAGAGCACAAGGCCAGGGCAGGACGCAGCTGTGGCCTGTAGCATCCTGCTCGTTGCGCCCACGTCACCAGTGATGCTGTCAGGCACTTTGTCTGCTGCGCGGGAGGCCAGGGAAACGCCGGTGAGCCGCCCCCTTGCCAATACTGAGTGTGGTGCCTGCCTGCTGCCAGCTGATTTCTGTCTGAGCCAGCTCCTTCACCTTGGCTGGGGTTTGTTCTCCTTCTCCCGTGCACTTTCGTGGCTGGTTGTTACTGGCAAATTCAATTCTGGGTGAACTCTCCGGGGCTCTTTGTCCAGCCACTGCTTCCCAATCAATGGAGAGTAATTAGGGTCATAAATAATGGGCGGATCCTGCAGTCTCCTGGGCTGCTGAGCTGAACGTCTTTAGGGTGCTGGCTCAGGTGGAAGCTTGTCTCTTCTTGGTTGGGGTAGTTAGGGTGGGGGTGGGTCATCGTTAATGCTGTGGAGGCTGCCCCTTATGGGCGTCACCATGGTGACACTCGCAGCAGAGGGAGGGGAGAGTAGGCCTGACCGGACTCTGCACCCAGGGCCGGCTCTAGGTTTTTTGCCGCCCCAAGCAAAAAAATTTTTGGCTGCCCCCCGTCCCAGCCCTGGGCTCCTCGCCGCACCCCCCTGCCGCCCCAGCCCTGGGCTCTTCTCCACCACCCGCACCCCCCTGCCTCCCCAGCCCTGGGCTCTCACCCCCTGACCTGCACCCCCCTGCCGCCCCAGCCCTGGGCTCTCCCCCACAAACACACACACACCCTGCTGCCCCAGCTCTCCCATGTTTGCAGCGTGTGCTCCGATAGCTGTGATCCGTGCGGGGAGAGGGGCAGGGACACAGCTGGCAGGGTAGCATCAGTGTCACAGCACCATGAGTTCTTGGAACAATAGTAGAAGGGAAAGGTGGCTCAGTAGCTAGCCTGGGCCATGCGAGAGCTGGGGCCAGTTCCCTGCCCTGCCACTGATTTGCTGTGTTACCTTGGGCAAGTGCCTTAGTCTCTCTGTGTCAATGGTCCTCTGTAAAACGGGGGGATAGCGCTTCCCTGCCTCCCAGGGGTGATGTGAGCTTACCGACTATGAGTGCCCAGGTACAACAGTGATGGGGGTAGTTAAGGACCAGGTGTACAATCCAGTGCCTGCAGGCCCCGTCACAGGTCGGGCACCTGAAATTTGAAGCATCTGCAATGGCTAGTCATGCCTGAAACCACATCCGTGTGGGTGTGGGGCAGTGGGTGCTGGGGACCCTCTGAGAATGAGGGACACAGCGTTCTGTGGGCATTGGAAAGGTCGCTACACACACAGCATGCCTGACGCTGACCCACAAAAGCAAGGACGTGGGGAGCCGAGCCCCTCTCAGTGCATCCCCCGTCCCCCGTACACCACAACCCACAACCTTGGCTCTGCCCCGAAGGGGTGGCACCCGCCAAGCACTGCACTGCCTCATCCCCATGGCCAGACAAGCCCCGCCCCGTTTCCCCTCACTGCCCCTCCCTGCTCTATCCAGGGTGGAGGCTGGGTCTGTTTCGAACCACCCTCCCAACCTGCGCAAGATCCTTCCAGGCTCACAATCCTACCGTCTCTGCACAAATGGGGGCTCCCCCACCCCATCCACTGGGCTGGGGAATACCAGGCTACCTGCCCTTCCCTAGCAAACCCAGCCTCCCCCACCCAGTCTTCTCCCCCCATCCGCTGGGCTGGGGAATACCAGGCTACCTGCCCCTTCCCTATCAAACCCAGCCTCCCCCACCCAGTCTTCTCCCCCGCATCCGCTGGGCTGGGGAATACCAGGCTA